GTGTTGCTCGCCTGAACCACTCTGCGAACTCCCGTTTCGACCGAGCCCTGCACCTCATGCACCAATGGAAGCAGGGCCTCACTTTCCAACACCTTCGCAAAGTGCTGGGAAATCGGCTCTTGGGATGTCGGATGTGCGTGACCACACTAAAATTCGCAGTCACACCCGCTTGAGCCTCCCAAGCCAAGCAGCTCCAAGGATCGAGGGCATGGAGTTTCACCAGCTTGCATACCCAGAGCTGGGCTCCTTGTCCCGCATCCTCGGGAATTTGGTGCTGCTCGGAAGCAACAAGAGCAGGGTGAGCCCTAGGCTTCAAAACCCGAAACCCTCAGTGGATCTTAAATCTTAAAGGAGATTGGGCAACAACCCAGTGAACCTTAACACTGGACGCTACCGGTCGCTTCATTTCACAAGACCGGTTGTGATTGTGGCGAGGGTGATTGCCTTGTTTGTCGTCACGGTGCATATCGTGAAAGGTTTCTGGCGCTGTTGCATGTCGTTGCTTATCACGACTTTGCCAATGCTGTCTGTATCTAGTGTCGCTAGTGTCATAGAGAGTCGATCGTGCTGCCCGAGGCAAGGCTTGCTGAGGGCTACCATCGGCAATCACGCGGCCGAGGTGGTGGAGTGCCTTGTTGCAGGTGGGACATAAGAAGATTTCGGAAAAGGGCCCCTTGGAGCCGGTTTGCAGCGACACTCCCACTGAAATCCAGCGTGTGGAAGCACGTCCCGGCAGATGCCACTGGGCCTGGCTTCAACAGCGGCCTTCGCCTGGAGGAGCGGTTGAGACGTACGTCACAAACGCACAATAGTCTTACTGCGTAGTGAGATGCTGTCGGCTAGTGAAGTACAAGAAACATCCCCCCGGCTGTTGCAGGCAGACGGCAGATAAACTGGCATCAGCAACAGCAACAGTGGGACTTGTTGTATTTGTTCGTCCTAGCGGTGTCAGCAGGTTTTCGCTGAAAACTTGGCAGCAGCAATTGCGGCAACAACGACAACCCAACCCTGTGGAGGAGATGATTGGCAAGGAGCTTCAAAAGAAATGCCTCTTGGTTTAATGCCGTAATGATGGGGCCTGCCAGTTGGAAAAAGCATAGTGCATGCTGGGAGGGGAGGCATCACACCCCAGGTGGTGACAAAGACATCACGCTGGCGGGCGTGAAGCAAAGATTTGGCGGCTCGGCAAGTTTTCGATATTCCGTCTGTGTTTGGCCTAAACGCCTAAACCTTGCCAGCTTTGCAAGTCCGGGTGGAGTGTATGATTTAGGGTTTAGGGTCTGAGTCACAGTGCGCTGAGGCAAGAGGCTGATCATCCTGGCTTGTGAACTGGACTCTGGTCACGAGAGAAGATTTACGCCAGAAAGTGATCCCGATCTGCCGGTGCGGGTTGCTGTGCGCATGTCCATGGGGGTGCCGGGGCTGATGGAGCCCTTCAGATACAAAGGCAGCGAGAGCGTTGCGAAAATACGTTTTGAAGGGAAGCCATAAGGCAGGGCTTTAGAAACAATCAGCGGATTGTTTCTCGAAGTGATCTCTGCCCAACCTGTCCTTCTCCCTCGTTCCGTTGAGCCTCTTTGTGGGGGAGGTTTAGGGCCAAGGCATCTGACTCTGCCTTACCACGAACATCCGGCAGCCCCAAATCCCCGGGCCATTTCTAGCCGACGAAAGCTTCGACCGTCGCCAACGAAACGATGACGTCTTGGATGTCGAGCTTCGGGTTTAAGCTTGCGTTGCTTACAGCGAGCTTTTTCCTTGCAGTACGATTCCTACAGCTTTGTATCCAAGCAGCCATTCCCCAAAGCCCTGTGAGGCCACGTCTACTGCGATGGTGGCATGTGCAACGACTTCCCGGTGGATGCTCTGCCGGAAGACTCCAAGCGCATGGGGTTGATGGTGCGACCGGTTGATTGGATCCGCCACCATGTCCCAGGACCGAATGTGTGAAACTCGCAACGCATGTTTGAAGTAGTGTGGGTTGATGCCTCATACTGATTTCTGAGCTAGTCAACTGTCAGAAGGAGCACCAACTAGCAACAACGCTTCTACAGGTAATGGTCTTGCGAGCTTGCGGGAAGATGCCAAGCAAGCAAGCCTTTGCTAAATTGCACTGCTAGATTTTTTAGGCCATTTCTTGCGTTTCGTGCGCAGGCCTGAGCTCCATCATCCCCGATGAGAGGCTGGAGAAGTATGAAAAAGTGATGGCTCATCTCAAGATGAAGTCGCAAGAGAGCCCGACACTTTTTTCGGTGAAGACGGTCCTGGACCTCGCCTTGACCTCGGCACCCGACTCAGAGGTAAACCCGCAGCCCCAGCACATCAACCCTGTACGACCACGTTCAGTTTCAGATCCTGCTGCCTAGCTGTTACAGCTTTCTAGTAGCAGGGACCAGGGCGCAAGCATGATGAGGATGGTGGCCAGTGTAATGCTCCTGGCAATTAGCACGGTGATGGCGACGAAAAACTGAACAGGAACGCTGGTTCTGATGATGATGATGATGATGATGATGATGATGAGGATGATGAGTAAGAGGAGGAACCAAGGGGAGCATTGACTCCTTTCAGGGAGCCTGAGCGATTCAGGAATCTCGAAATCCAACAAACTCGCAGCGGCTCGATAGAATATGTCTAGGCCATAGGTTGCTCGTCAGATTGCTAGTCGTTTAGGGTTTAGGGTTGTGGGGGCGTTCTTCATTCAGGGTCCAACTTGTAGAGCTTAGGGCTCAGGGGCCCGGGCATTTATGTGCTTTGGGATTTTGAGTTTCGTTTTCCGCTGGGGGAGCAGGCGACCTTGGGTTCAGGCTTGCGGGGCTCTCCGCGGCTCAGCATCGGATCTGGGTTTCTGTTCTGAGTTGTGTTTCGGTCCATCACTGCGTCCAGCTCGTCTAGGCCAATCTTCGGTTTTGGAATTCTGTGCGAATTCCGCGCCCGCGTTGTTTCGTTCTGTTTCGTGAATTCCGTGCATGAGTTTCGGTGCAATCGCAGTCGGATGAGTACGATGAGGATTCAGGAAGTGTGAGGGATATTGTGGTTCTGCCGATCATGATGATATCCAAACTGAGAGCAATGGGTGAGTATCACTCGCAAGTTGCAGTGCCCAGGATGGACGTCATCATAAGGACTCATGGACGTTTCTCTTGTTCCTCCTCTTTCTGTAGCCTGTCCCAGCTTCAGGTGAACATCATGATGGATGCCAACCTCGTGCTTCAGATTGAGGCCTGTGAGGACTCTAAGGAACTGTTGGGTCTAGGGTTTAGGGTTTGCGGTTTAGAGTTTAGGGTTGCTGTCTTCCCATCCTTGACTTTCCGGAGGCTGCCACCGCCAAGAAAGGTTTCAGGCAAAGCTCTGGCATCTCTGGCCTCGCGCCCGAGATCCTCACGTGGCTCGGCTGCATTTTCAGATTGGCTCAGGGCCTTCAAAAGCGGCCGCGCTGGCCATAGTGATGCTTGGAGTTGCGCGACAGCACAGCATGAGCTGTGGCGCAACAGAGGTGGTGACTGTGCCGGTTTGGTTCCCCCGCCTTCGCATGATGAGGCTGTGCGGAGGCAGATATGACCCCTTCGACTTCAATCTAACGAAAGAGCAGCACCGTGGGCCTGCAAACAGACTGCCTACTTGATTCAGCATGACGCCAGCTGGGTAAGATCAGGCATCGGGAGCTGTACTTGGCCGGCCAGCTCAGTGCCCTCCACAGAGTTTAGGGCGCTGATAGAGTCGTAGAGCGGCCACGGGGGCTTGCGTGAGGTACCCACCTGCACGCATCTGTCGTGGATGGGAGCTCTCAAGTACTCAACGATGAGGGAAAGCTGAAGACCATGTTGTACATGCTACACATGGATTATCCGAAGCCGAAGTGACCAAAAGTGTCGCGGCCGTTGCAGTCAAAAATGTGCTGCAATTCGCGAGCTGCTAGCTCTGAGAGTCTCTCCTTCACTCCTCTTTCTCGTCTCTCTCCTGTCCTTCTCTTCTTGCTCTCGCGGACCGTCTCCCTATGTCTCCCTCTCTCCCCAGGCACCGCAGCATCCGCGCCTTCGAGGCCACCCTGACGCGCGGCCGCTGGAAGCCGAGCTGGGGCCCAGCGCCCTGGGAGCGGCGGCCCCAGCCCCTTTTTTTGAGCCGAAGAAATACAGAATAGATAGGGAGAAGAACCAAGATGGTCAGGGGCCCGTGAATCTTGCTTCTTGGTTCCGCAGGCCTGCCTGCATTGAAAACTGCATTGTGGTTCTTGGTTCCGGGGGTCTGGCTGCATTGAAAGTCAAATTTTCAATGCAGTTCAGCGTTACTTTTGGCCGCGTTTCATGTGGGTTCACGTGCGTGAGTATTGTATGCTGAGTGAGTGACTCATGTGGTTGCGGTGGGTTCATTGGACTATGACTCTTGCATGGTGTTGGAGTTCCTCGGGTTCATTCGGTGGTGACTTTTGCATGGTGGTGACAATACCCCCAACAGCAGATCTTTGGTGTATGTACGTATGTATGTGTGTGTATTTGTGCATGCATGTATGTATGTCTGTCTGTCTGTCTGTCTGTCTGTCTGTCTGTATGTATGTATGTATGTATGTATGTATGTAAGCACATACATACATGCATACATGCATACACACATACATACATACAGACATTAGCGTACTATAATGGATAGCGTGTGAAACAGAAGCGAAAGAAGCCCAGGTTCCGCCCTCCCGGGGCTGTCCTTGCCACAGCGCTGGAAGCTGGCAACGCCTCGTCGGAGGTCCCTGTCTAGGGTTTAGGGTTTCCGGTTTGGGGGGAAGAGTAGAGGGTGCGGAGCACTGTTGGACTTCAAAGTTTTGGTCGTGCCTGCGCCATTCGAGAAGGATCTTGTTATTTAGGGTTTACATCACGATCGGGCACTCTCTCTCTCCCTCTTGCAAAGTCCCGAAACTTTGTCCCAAAAAGCTCTGACTCTAAATCCAGTCTGCGAATCACCGGCTTCGGCTCAGCCGCTCCAGAGCGGGGCGACCGAACGGCCTCCCTCGAGCCATGAAGGATGACATCCACAGGCTGCGAACCGCGGCACGACCAACGGCAGTCAAGATCGCCAAGGAGGCGAACACACAGACGACCGACGACGGCCAGTCCGCCCAATAAGGGCAAGTCGGTCGGTGTTTGCATGATATTGGCTGAACGGGGGTTGGGTGGGCTGCACGCACAAAACTTCCAAAAATGAAAAGCGCACTCTTTGAAGCTGTGCGTGGGGAAAATGTCGAAACAGCCAAATGGTTGTTGGACAATGGGTGCGATCTCAACCAGATGAGCTGCACTGGCACAACGCCTTTATGTATTGCTTTCTACGAGTCGCAATTGGAGATGGTGTTTTTACCTCGAAGTAAAAACACCATCTCCAATTGCGACTCGTAGAAAGCAATACATTGAACCACGGGGCAGACCCCAATTATGAGGACAGCAGCGGCCGCCGGCCAATGCTGTACGCCGATCCGATATTTCGGCGATCAACCTGACCCGCGATACAAGAAATTTAAGGGCGTTGGTTCCCAAAACTGCAAAGGACACTACTACTTGCGCCACTGGGTTTTTGAAGCGGAGCCGCATGGGGACAATGGCCAGATCTTCAAGCAAGAGGGAGCAGTGTACGCTGCCAACAGCAATTTTGAGGTTCAGGCGGCTCCGGTGAAAGCAGCCCGCAAGATCCGTGGCCTGCAGCGCGAGCTTTGCGAGAACCATGCGGATTTGTTTCCGGAGCTAATTCTTGCTTGCTGCCCAGAGGAGTGGGCATCCTTGATAGGTGTGCCACAGGAGGAGATCGACGCTCAAAAGCGCATGACGGCGCTGCTGACGGATGCGCAGCGGTCGGATGCCTTGGAGTTTGTTCTGGGCGGTGTTGATGCA